AGTTATACCTAACTTCCATTCAATGGTTCAAAATCAATTTGGGGTCAAAATAAAAAGCTTTAGGACTGACAATGCTAGAGATTACTTCAATCAAATTCTTTCACCTGATTTTCAATCAGAGGAGATTATCCATGACTCATCATGTGTGGACACACTCCAACAAAATGGGGTAGCAGAAAGAAAGAATGGGCATTTACTCAACACCACCCGAGCCTTACTCTTTCAAGGGAATGTTCCTAAGTCTTATTGGGGAGAAGCCGTTCTTACTGCCACACACATGATCAATAAACTTCCCTCCCGTGTGTTAGAAAACAATAGTCCCATAGAGGTCCTAAATAGCTTCTACCCTCACTTCAAAACCTCAAATGGCCTCACTCCCAGGGATTTAGGTGTAATGCCTTTGTTCATGTCCACAAACAACATAGAGGGAAGCTAGATCCCAGAGCCATCAAATGTGTTTTCCTAGGTTACTTATCCACTCAAAAGAGATATAAGTGTTACAATCCTTCTACCATAAAATTTTACATCTCTGCAGATGTCACTTTCACAAAAAATAAATCCTTTTAATAATCACAAAAAATAAATCCTTTTTTTCCAAGTCCTCTCTTCAGGGGGAGATTTTCATGATGGAAGATAGTACTTGTGAGCCCTTTGAACCACATAGAACCCTTGATTTGACCTTCCACATGTGCCAGCCCGGGTTGTTGAACCTAGATCAAACTCTCCTCCTATTCCAGTTGAACCCGAGTCCTCTAAACCAATCACATTTGAGTCACTTGATCCTGAACCCTTATCATCTTCTGCTCCAACCAGTGTCACTAATGATTTCCCGAGATTTCCTCAGGTGTATTCAAGGAGAAAGGTCGTTCCTGAACTGACACAAGTCCAAGAATCCAGTCCACTCTATCCACTATCTCACTATGTATCTCTCAAGCGCCTATCACCAGCCCACAAAAGATTCATTGAGTTTGAAAACCATTGTCATTCCTAACAATGTGTCTGAGGCAAAAAGAAATTGAGAGACGCTATGAAAGAGAAAATGAGTGTTTTAGAAAAGAATAAAACATGGGAGATCATTGACAAACCAAAGGAAAAAAACATTGTTGATTGCAAGTGGATTTTTACATTAAAGTACAAGGCTGATGGATCCCTTGAAAGATATGAGACAAGGTTAGTAGCCAAAGGGTACACTCAAACTTACGGGGTGGATTATCAGGAAACCTTTGCTCCAGTTGCAAAAATGAACACTGTGAGAATCCTGTTATCATTGGTTGCTCACTTCAATTGAATTGTGCTACAGTATGATGTAAAGAATGCTTTCCTTCATGGTGACCTAAATGAGGAAATCTGCATGAACATCCCTCCGGGAGTTGAAGGGGACACAGGTAACAAGGTGTGCAAGCTGAAAAAAGCCATTTATGGGTTAAAACAATCTCCTAGAGCACGGTTTGGCAGATTTGCAAAAGTCATGAAGGAATCTGGGTATAATCAAAGCCAATATGACCACACTCTTTTCATTAAACATTCAGCTGCAGGGGGAGTGACTACTTTTTTAGTCTATGTGGATGACATCATAGTGACTGACATCATAGTGACTGGAAATATCATAGTGACTGGAAATAATGAGAAAGAGAAGCATGAATTGAAGCTGAGACTAGTAAAAGAATTTGAAATCAATGAACTAGGAAAATTGAAGTACTTCCTCGGTCTTGAGGTGGCATATTCCACACAAGGGATCTTCATATCTCAGCAGAAGTACGTGATTGATTTATTGACAGAAACAGGGAAGACTTGGTGTAAGCCAATCGCTACTCCAATAGATCCAAACTATAAGTTGGGAGAAGCTAAAGAA